ATGGAGGACCTCAGTGATGAGAGGAGAATGTGTAGCGCTGAGCTAATACATATATACGGTGATAGCATCAGGGCTAATGCTAAATAAGCTGAGGTTCTTCTACCATGAAGCAGCTCTGTTGTCCTCCATCTATATTTTCAGTTACAGGCTGAGTCATTTCTACCTTCTCCTCTCTGTCAACGCTCTCTGGTTTCATTTAAAAGAGCCAATCGTCAGATATTGTCCAAGATTAACCTTCAGGGTGGATATAGCTCGCTAGCAGCCTCGCACCAAGGACCTATCCACGTCATAACTTACCCAGAATGCTTTGTGTGTAAATAAAATGGCTCCGTACGTGTGAAATATTTTTAAACTTTTAGTTTAAAAATTATAAAAACTAAACAGTCTGCAGTACTTTTACAGTTTTTATTTTACAGTTAAAATATGTTTATCAAATAAAGTCTAATGTTACAACTAATCATGGATCCCTTTAAACATTCCAGTACTCACCACTAGTAGGTAGATGCAAAAAAATAAGGGTTTTTCTCTGGGATGGTTTGTTACAAGATTAAGAACCCTTCTCGCAGAATGTAGACCTCACTCTGCTCTCTGTGAACCTACATCAAAATGTGACTGGATCATGGAAAAATTTAGTAAAACACCTTCTTATTGCTCTGGTGTTACTCACCAAGTAGGGTATTTCTTGCTTCACTGGGCTCCATATATCAGCAGCATGTTCCCATGACATTACTCCACATACACAAACACACCCTAGGCTCCACACTGGCACGACTGCATCAGAATGGCATCAGAGGGCAGCAGATCAACACCACTCCTGATACAGTTATCACCTCTAGGATAGATTGTTTCCAATCGACCAGGTATTGGAAGCCTCGGCCACATCGTCTCACGTCAAGGATGCGTCTGACCATGTAGGCAGGATGATTGTCAATGAGGACTGTCAATGACCAGTCTCAGCTGTGACTGGATTCTCACACAGCGACCGATTATCATATGAACATTTTTAGTTCATCCAAAATGCAGTTTTGTTGTTTCGGTTAGATGGTAGCTCCAATGTGGGTGGCAAAACACAGCTTGTGATCTTGAAGCTGGCTGAAGACACCAGCAACAACATTGAGATGGGTTTGCGATACCTTTGACAACTCTGCTAATTTTGAGACAAGTTACTTGTGCAAATTCTTTGAACATGTTCCATGTGTGAGTGACACAACTGTGAAGCCTTGGACTCATGCGAGGATACTGAGAACCGCTGCAAAGTTTTCAATGGTTGCAGCCTAGTGAGATAATACATTAGGCAAAATGTACTAAAAGTAAAAAGCAATGAAATGAAGTCCAGGCCCACTGTGAGGTGATGATTACCACTGGATCAGTGTGAAATCTGTCAGGTCCCAGTGTTACAAGGAAAGTGCCAATAAAAAGGTCATTCATGTTGAATTGAATTTATATCAAAGTCAATATTTCATTGTTTGGAAGTGAGTTGCAAGTTGTATTGACTAAATGTGTAAGGAGTGATTAGATCATGGCTCCTGATCAACGACTGGAGGAATATGATCATTTTTCATGTTTTAACTCCAGCACATTTTTGTCTTGGAAGGATCACTTCAGCCAAAATGTAATAAAGAAAATAGCAGAGATACTATTTTTGGTCTTAGCGGTTAAGTTTAGGACCAAGGCCTGAATTGAGTTTAGGTTAGTTTTAGGGCCATGTGAGGTTGGGGGTGGCGATATCAGGCTCCCAAGTCCTCAAGTAACCCCGGTTGTTGCAATTTAGTTGAATAGCCGTCATACGGAGAAGGGGGACCAAAATGTACAACTGTTAAGAACTTAGCTAATGATTCCTTTTGTACAATCTTGTTCCCCAAACTTTTAAATTACACATCATGTCTCTCTTTCTGAGTTTGTTTCATTTTCTTCTATCTTAAATTTGGTTCAGAGACACAGTCTTCCCCCTGTGACCACTCACAACATGCTGGACGACTCCACGGACCCCATCCTGTCCAACGTCAGACGCATTGGCCTCTTCAACTCAAGGAATGACCGAGTCAAGGTAGATTCAAAGTTTGAGTTTCTTCAAACAGAAACCAGAGAAGCTGGGACAGAACATGAAGTCCTGAGGCTGATAAGTTTCAGAAATTAATTGATTAATAAATTAAAGATTTATCTTGGACAACATTTTAGAGGCCTAGTGAGTGTAGCGAATTGTTAGGAGAGAAACAAAAAGGKTGATTAACTATTTCTGTCCTGCACTACACTTTTACAAGTTGGGGCACCAGGTCACATTATTGACTAACATTTATTCACCCTTTTTAATCAGACTCATATTTACCAAGTGTCACACTTTGGTAAATATAAGGATTTGTATTATATGCAGCAACATTCATTGAATCATGAATAAAACAGTAAAAATAACATGAAAGACAAGCATTAAGGTTTATAAAACAGCTAAAGGTAAAAATTATTTTAGATATGATGTTATAGGTCTAACTTAAGATAAGTTCTGGATGTTTAAACCTTTATAGAATGAAAATATATATTTTCCCACAGGAAATATTTTTCTTCTATTAATTAATTGACAAGAGACCCAGGTTAAAACACAAAAGATTTTGTCAATTTGGAGAGATCTTGGTCAGGTTGTTATTAGTCATTTTAATCTTACTGCAGATCAGAATTACATCAAAGTTGCCACATGGTAAATGGACTGTACTTGTATAGCACCTTTCTATCCAACCAGGACACTCAAAACGTTTCACACTACAATCTGTGTCCTCATTTACCCATTCACACAGCACTCTATTAGGTCTCTGCAAAGCTAACATGTACAATCATCTATAGAGACTAATCAGTTATAATTACATTCATACACTGATGGGACACATCAGAGCCATTGGGGGTGAAGTGCCTTGCCCAAGGACAAAACAACTGAGACAGCTGGAACTGGGGATCAAACCAGCAACCTACTGGTTCCAGGACGACTCCCTTAAACACTCGGCCACAGCCCTCATGCTGTTTAACCTGGATTGTTGTGCAAACCATTTGTGTGTAATGCCTTAATTGGGTACAGCTCATCATCTCACCAGAGTTGGAGAAGGCTGTCTCATAGGAGGTGAAGGCTTTGTGTGCCGGACTGTGAGGTCCAGGGGCCTCATGCATAAAGGATTACGCGGCTTTCACACTAAAAGTTGACGTACGGACAAATTTAGAAAAGTGCGCCGCACCAAAATATTCAGATGTATAAAACCGTGTGCACGCAGGTTCCTGCGCACCTTTCCTTTATACACCCCAATGAACGTGGAACTGAGCGCACCTGAGACACCTCCCTGACACACCTCCATTTAAATATGTAAAATAGATGTAAATGTGTCCAGAATGTGAGATTCTCCTCAGATTTTCCTCTCTGTGGGATCGGAAAGGATTTTTAGATGCAGGAAAATTATACATTAAATGGAGAATGAGTGAGAAAACTGTCTATATTAGTAGTGGAGTGTAAAAATGAGTTTGCCACACTCAAAGGTGTCTGTGGGTGTTGGTGTGTGCGTGCGTGTGGTGTTATTTTCAGCGGTGCATGAGGCTGACAGACATTTCCACCTTTCCACGTCTTTAATAAAAGACTGTAAACACAGAGGAAGTTGTGACTTTTGTAGAACTTAGAAAATTTATTAAATAGTTGATGTGAAGAAACGCGCATTTCCTGCTCTTGTAAAAAAAAAAATAGAACCACTCGCCCGACCTCCTCCGCCTCATCTCGTAAAAAACTGAGGCGCTGGGGGTACCTGGCGCGCGGTGTGGGACTGGGAACAGCTGACATTGATCCATACGCACAACTTTACGCAGCAATAAATATTGCGTCTTGTGGAGATGAGGAATCATCACAGCTGAATCTGCTGAGTTGACGTTTTTCAGTGAAAATTAAAAATGTTTCTTAGAAAATCCACACACATTTTATTCTCCTCAGCTGTGTGTGCACTCTGCAGGCCATGCGCTCTGCGTGTGTTTCCAACTACGTGACAACAATATAAAAACTTTACAGTTTACAGACTGGACTGAGGCTCTTTTGATCATTTTTAGGCTGATCTATTTTCTTGTCTGAGGTTAAAGGATTTTCAGTCCCGGGGTTCAGTTTCATGATCGTTTGAGTTTAAATAATAAAAACTAAAATAAAAATCTAACACCGTGTTCAGACGCTCCTTACATCCAGAAAACACAACAAAGTCATATTTCAGTAGATTCAGGTCAGATTCATGACTTTGTGAGTTAAAACTGTCGRCTGAAAAACTTTGCGTGGCTGCCGCACATTCTCACGGCAGGTGAAAAGTGTGCGTAAATATACGCACACTTTCACGCAACGTTGGTTTTAATACATCGCAACGTGAGCGTAGAACCTCGCAACTTTTTGTGCGTACGCACCGTTTATACATGAGGCCCCAGATGATTCAGATCTGCCCTGGTGGTCATTAAGGATAGGTTCTCACAAACTCAGACTCTGGGACGACTTGGCTTCTCATAACAACACAGCTTTATCAGACCCAGCCAGGTTGGCACAAACTTCATTTGCAGTAACCAAAATTTACATTTTTCTCTCAGATGGTTCATCATCAGGTCTTGAAGCTCTCAGCTTCCTCAGCAACATCCAGCTCAGAACTACCTCAAACTGGCTTCTATAAGTACTAGTTTGTACTCAGCGTTCAGCTGTGTGTGTGAAGACATAACAAAAGATAACCAGGTCTCCTGTCAGAAAAAAAAAGACATTTCTTTTGGGGAGAATATATTGACTTAGAGTGTCTTAAAGGTTACAAAGAAAAACAAAAACACATTAATTGTGAACATTGCCAAAGTGCAAATATTGTAATAGAAATTTATTAATTTTCATGTGTCTTTGCAGGTCATCTTCCACCCTGAGTTTCTGTCCTCCACCAGTCCTCTGCTGCCCATGGACTATGAGGACTTTGTTCGCGGCTGTAACCTTGGAGTGTTTCCTTCCTACTATGAACCTTGGGGATACACACCTGGTAACCTTTCACACTGTGAAACCCACAGAAAGCTCAAAAAGCAGAGCATTTTAAACATGTTAACAACAACATATTTGACTTTATGACACTTGTGAATCAGATCTAATATGCTGCCTTCAAAAAGTTGGAATATGTTAGAGACAATATTACAACAGATAAATACAAACAGAAGACAAAGACCTGGAGTCAAGTCACTGACAATATCTGAGAAAACCTTCTGTGTGACCTCCCTGTTTAACACTCCTTAATGATAAAGTCTTCATTTGTCATAACAGTTTTTTAAATTACTTATTATAAACTATGTTTAGCTGTAACATATCCAGATTAAAGATTTATTTTATTAAAACATCTAAGCCAACACACCAGCAGCAGACATTTGACAGATGTAGAAGGTTTTAGTAAGCAGCTCATACCTGTAATTACCAGGCTGCAGTATGTATCATTACCACATATTGAAATGCAATTTATTTTTCACTAGCTCTGGACACAGGTGACAAGAATGAACCCTACAAAGACAAGAACTTCGAAGTCTTGGTTAAAATACAGTATATATAGCTTCTTATGGGACAGATCTAAGCTAGTTTTGTCAGTTATATGGATGGCTGTGGCAGAGTGGTTAGTGGAGTCGTCCTGTAACCGGTGGGTCTCCAGCTTGGATAACAGGGTGAGCAGGTGACATGAGATGTACTATGGAGCTGTAACAGGAGGTGCACTCACAGGAAGCTTAGATGGACATTGTGACAGAAATTATTGTTGACTAATGGACTAATTTAAAAAATAATTGCAGATAAGTCGACTATCAAAATAGTCAGTAGTTGAAGCCCTATTACCATGTGACAAATGTGATATCTGGAGCATCACAGAAGTACAGCATGTTAGACTGGTACAGGATGTGTATGAAGACAGTAGCATACAGCGGGTAAAGTAAGTATTGAACACGTCAACATTTTTCTCAGTAAATATATTACTAGAGGTGCTAATGACTTGCTTTCTAATTACTGAGAGAGTTCAGCTGGTGTCTTGGCTTTCCATGCCTTTTTACACCTCCCTTTCTTCATGTGTTCAATACTTTTTCC